GCCTAGTGAATAGTAATTATGTTACCAAGCCAAAGGTGGGTGATTTTAATTTGCGGCCCTCAGGCCTGGTTCTAATTGTTTTTGGTCAAACATTCCTCTAAGTGATACAGCACTGTTCTGTCCATCTGCTGTACAGACGTAACTTGTGGTAGCTGTGATGCTAAACAAACACTGTGACACTGATGTGCCAAATCTGATAATGGTTACCCATGGTGGACAGTGTTTGATGGAGCTCCCCAATTAAAACAAGCTTGGAAACAAGAGTGGCATCCACTTTCAAAACAGTTTGTCTCTATGAACTTGGAGAAACGACAAAAGTTATACAAGTGTTCAGGTCTTTTGTTCATAGTGTTGCTATGAGTCGTCTACAACTTGACGGCACTTAACAACAACATAGGTAGGAACAACAATTTGTAGAAAGGATATGGGAAGATTAATATAAATATCTAACACTGTCATCTGTATGCTTTCAAACTCAGCAGTCGGTCCTCAATATGGGTGGCATGGCCTTATTTAAAGAACAGTTGTGGTTCACTCTGGGCTCATCAACTCCACCATCACACATCCATCTGATAAGTGCCTCTGGAAGGTGATACTATTTAGCAATGTGAGGTAGGATTAAGGAGGCACAGAAGCGATAAAGACTGTAGACATACCAGGCAGAAGAAAGGACAATATGGAACAAGGGAGCAAAAACATGGCAATTGTGAAACCCTATAAATATAATAAATAAAAATAAAATTTTTAAACAAGAAGTAAAATAAATAGTAAACATACAAACTAAAGAAGATCTTGGGGAGGGGGGGGAGAAAATCTACTTCTGTAAAGTGTTGGGATCTTATCAGTCCAGGATTGTCTTAAACCAAACCCAAGGCTAAACTAAACAAACTGGGTAATTTGAAACAAGGGTTGTAATTCTGACTGAAGACAGCTCTATGTCCAGTTCACCCCACCCTGAAGGCATAGCCCTGGAGCTCCTGTTTTACTAGATCTCCTGTTAGACTCCTTTCCTTGCTCTGGGTCCTGCTTTTGATTGCTAACCTCTCTTTCTATTAATATTCCCTTGTTGTGTTCAGACAACTGCTTCTTGGTCTATTTATAAGTTTTGCATGAGCACTATTAAGTGTTCTGGGATTCTCATTCTTCTCAATGTTATCCATAATTTATTATGATCCACACAGTCAAATGCTTTTCCATAGTCAATAATATACAATCTTTAATATACAAAATAACATCTTTTTGGTGTTCTCTGCTTTTGGCCAAGATTCCTCTGCCATCAGCAATGATACCCTCATTCCATAACTGCTTCTAAATCCAGCTAGAATGTCTGGTAGTTCCTGGTGATGCACCGTTCCTGCTGTTTTTGGATACTCTTCATCGAGATTTTACTTATATGTGATATTAATGGTCAAGAAGCATTTGTCTGAACAAAACGAAGGAATACTGCATGGTTTAAAATCAGAAAAGGTATCTATCAGGGCTGTATCCTTTCTCCATACAGATTTTATCTATATGCTGAGCAAATCATTTTAAAAGCTGGACCATATATAGAATAATGCTACAACAAGTTTAAAGCAAAACTCCTCAACAACCTGTGTTATGTAGATGACACTTATAGAAAGTGATGAAATTTGAAGCACATACTGAAGAAGATCAAAGACTACAGTTTTAAGATGGATTACACCTCAACATCAAGAAAACAAAAACCCTCACCACTGGACCAACAGGCAAAATAATGAGAGACAGAGAAAAGATTGAACATTTTAGTTTTACTTTGATCTTCAGCAGTCAAGAAATCAAAGACATGGTTCATTG